CAAAACTTTTATGGAAATTATGGATTTACAAATATCTGAGAAGTTTCATTGTTTCAATATCTGACTTCTAATTTGTATCTAAAATTTCTTTAGCAGTAAAGATGGAAGTAAAGTTCTTCAAAGCATTTATCTATCCATAACAAAAAAATAAAATAACTTGTACAGTTGCTTTAATATACACGCACAGTAAACAAACTAATTTCTTTCTACATTTAGCTTCATCATTTACTGCTAACCAAAAAGTGGTATGAGCACTAGTTATAAATTCGGTAAATGCTTTTACTTTCCATTCCCCTCCCATGCATTAGAATGACTTTAATTGCATAAATTATCTAAAATTATGGAATTCTGCCACCATTCTCTCATTTATGCTTATTTAAATTTCATTATAGATCACAATGGCTTAAGAAAAGCAGCTATTTTTAGACTGTTTTGTGACAAATCGAACAACAGTCTGATTTCAATGTATTTCCTTAAGGCATTGGTTTAAATTCCCACTTTTTAAGAGGCTCCCAACATCAGGTTGTAACTTTTCATGTTGCTGCTTTTACTTCGACAATACATGGAAAGGAAATTGAAAGAATACAGAATCTATGACATGGGACTTTCTTAATCAGGCTATTGAAACAATAAACAACAATTAAGGCTAAGCTGCCTTATACAATATGGCATATTTGATCAAAGATAGTAATAACAACCAGATACAGATAAGGTAGATAAACAGTCACAGATCAGGTACATAAACTTGCTTCCAAAAATTTTCACACATCCACTGTATCATTTACAATGCAAAAATCAGTAACTACACAAAATTCTTGAGGGCTACATTACATAGCTGGTTTCAAATTGACTGAATGAGGAAAAAAGGAGGTGAGAGGATTCATTAAAAAAATTCTAAAATGTTGAAGCTAACAGAATGTTCCAATCTACATTCACACGAGGTTGCAATTTTCTTTCCTTTGTCATTAAGTATGATAATCAGGTTATAACATCTGCATTTGCTGATTAAATGTGGACAAGTACAATGTGGCAACACTTCAACATCTACTATCAGTTCTACAGTTCTCTTTCCACTCTTTGTAGGTATTAACTGACAAGCCACAAACACATGAGCTTGGAGATACTTGTTCCTAACCTCCTAGCTATTATAATTTGATTTCAATCATAGTCACTTAAAACAGCAGCCTTTCCAGTACATGCAAAAAATGAATAAAATGATGCTACAGTATGTCCAATATTCATCCGATATTTCCACATTGTCACATGCTATCTGTTATCTTGGTAAGAGTATTCTCACAGTGGTCAAAGTGTTTGGACTGAATAGTGGATACAGGATTACTTAATAGTTAAACTGAATGTCAGAGAGGTAAAAGGGAGAAAAAGCATATAACATGGATGATATCAAGATAGGAAAACTAGAAGTGATAAGTAAGATTGAATATTTTACATAAAACCTAAGAATAAATGAAATAAATATAAAAAATCACAGATTTTCTTATCTCCATCTTTCATATTCACCACACACACACACACACAAAAAACATGAACTACTTTTTAAATGTATGTTTTAAATCCCAATTAACAAAGTTCAGTACTGTCTGTCTACGGTAAGAACACCTCCCACCACGGTGTGAGGTGGCGGGTGGCGGTCGCTATAGAAACAGGGCTAGTATATTTCAAATAGGGACGAACCAAGGGTTGCTTTATTGTTATTTTGTTTTTGGCGACTGTTGGCTGAAGGGAAAAGAGTTTATCATTCGTCTTCTTGGTTTCATTCCAGCTGCACGCATCTTTTCTTAAGCCTTATATTATTACTATTAGCTATTTTTATTCTCGTTGTTATATCTTTTGTACTGGTATTTGTTCAAATTTGCTTCTATTTAGGTTGATTTTCGTAGTGCTTTGTTAATTTTTTAAAATGCCCTTCCAGTTTAAGAAAGGTCAACCTTTAAAGTCTCAGGCACGTCAAATCGTGTACAATGTCGCAGAATTTTACGCTTCTGAAGCTTCGGCGAACTCTTTAGTAGTTCCTCAAGTTTTGAAGAGAACATCGCAAGCTACTGGAGTATCGGAGTATACAATTAAAAAAATTAAGCGCGAAGTATCAACAATGGGTGAAGATCAACTTCTAAATACGCCTGGAAAGAAAACGTAAAAGCCCTGCTTAATCATAAGTGCGAAATTGACGACTTTTGACAAATGCATGTATACAGGCAGACTAATACCAAGACTTTTACATCAAAGAAAAGAAAGTGCCATCTGTGCGGAAATTACTTGCCTGTCTTGAGGCAAAAAATAGACTTATCCCGTGGCAAAAAAAGACTCATTTGTGCAAAGTTTTGCGTTCGAATGAATTTTCGCTGGAAGAAATGTGTTAACAAAAGAAAAATTCTTATCGAAAGACCTCACATTGTATTTTGGAGGAACAATTATTTACGCGAAATGAGGAAACTCAGAGCAAGTGGACGCCACATCGTTTACATCGATGAAACATGGATGACAGCAATTTAACTTTTAAGAAATGTTGGCAGCATGATACGGTTTTGGGCGCACAGATAAATGTCAGTTCCAAAAATAGACTGATTGTTGTCCATGCTGGCTCTTCCGCAGGATTTATTCCAGGTGCCCAACTTATATATAAAGCATCAGCTCAAAGAGGGGATTACCATGCGCAAATGAACTATGGAAATTTTGAAAAATGGGTGTTGGAAAAGCTTCTTCCAAATTTACGACCTCAAAGTGTGGTATGCATGGATAATGAATGCCCCGTATCACACAAAAATTGAAGATCCGACACCCACGAAATATGCTACAAAGCAAACAATGGTAAATTGGCTGATGAAGAAGACGATATGCTGCGATCCCAAAATGCGAAAAGCGGAACTGTTCAGCTTAATAGAATGCAATCGTCCTAAAAAAGTAATATATAAAATTGACAACATCATAAAGGAAAATGGGCATCATGTTGTGTGTCTCCCTCCTTACAACTGTGATCTAAACGCAATTGAATACGTTTGGTCATCAGTTAAAAGACTGATCAGGGAAAGGAATGTGACTGGGGACTTAAGCTTGGAAAATTTGAAAAATTTAACACAAAAAAAGCTTTGGATGAAGTCACTTCTCAAGAATGGCAAGCGCACTGCAACCACGTAGAAAAACTTGAAAATTATTATTGGGACAAGGACGAACTTTTAGAAGAGATAGTGGATGGATCAATAATTCAAACTGGCAGCAGCGATTCTGATTTCTGATTCAGAAGAAACGGAATCTTGCGACAGTGACTTCAGATGACTTTTCAGATGTTATACCTCTAAAAAAATCCTCCACGAAAGGCATCCTTCTTCTTCATCTGATTAGCTTTGTCAAGTTGTGAGGATATTTCTAGGTTCAATATTTTCTTTGCCACTATGTAAATGAAAAGATTACCAAAAGTGGGCAACAATGAGCCTTCGGCAGAGGCGAAAACCCCGCCTGTGGGATAATAAAGAACACTGAATGGTTGCTTCATTTCCATTACTGTGTTCTTGGGGACCCACAAGCCATGGTATAATTTGCTTAAAAAATAATTTTAATCTTTAATTGAAATAAATAAGTTTGGTTTTATTATGAAAATATTAATACAAATTACATTAATGCAACAATGCTCACTGCAGTTATAAAAGCCAAATTTTGTATAATTATATAAATTTCATATAATTTTAAATATAAAATAGGTAACTGAATAATTTAAGAGACCTTAATTTTGTTCTGATTTTAACATTTTATTATGTTACAAGCTATTACAGTGTCTATAAAAAGCAGCATGATGCATAAATGGGCGCTGGTAATTAAGAGGCCCAGCAGCGGCCGATCGGTAAAGTCACTGAACACTTGTAGTTCGGTCTCAGGTTTGAATCCCGTGAACAGGCTGGGCTGCATGAATGGGTGTTTTCCCCATGTGTAACGTGTATACAAGGCAGTTTTCCTTAGCAAGCCCTCCCCGAAGGCATCCCTCCTCTTAGGCATTTAACCCTGGAGGCTTTCCGTAATCATATAAAACAACCCAAACCACTGGTAATTAAGTAAAAAGCAGTTTTGATTTTAATTACCTTACTTCCTTTCATCATTAAATTGACCAGCTTTTGGTTTAGTTGAAGGTATGGGAAAAGAAGACATGTTTGCAAAAAAGTATTTATTGAGAGCATTTTTTCTCAAAACAAGCACGGATTTTTAAATGCATTTCCCTACAAGTTATTTTGATATATTTTTACTCATTGTACATCTAGAAGGATGGCAAATTCAGCGACTTGTACCTCACACGGCAAAATCAAAGACCGTTCCTTAACTGCGAAAACTTTATTTATGCCATCAATTTTCATTTTCGGAAATTGAATGTCGGGGTCGACGCAAAGGGTCAATGAGCATTTTACTTGAAACTAAAACAAAATGTGAATATCGCCAAATCATCTTTAAATATGCCAAGGTGGCAAACTGAGAAGTAAATCTTCAAGACATTCCTACGAAAAATGTGTCACGGCTCGTTTCTACGGCAACAGACAGCTGCAGACAAACTGGCGAGAGCTGTTCTTACTGTAGACAGACAGTATTAATAATCTTTACCTGAATATAAAAACAAGCTTATTTACTGCAGTATGACGGGAAATCTCTCAACAAAACTGTCTATAGAGAGGGGGGGGAAATCTGCTTGTGGTAAAAACAATGATAGCAAATGAAGACTGCCAGATTAACTCTGCCAAAAAGACAAAAACTTTTTCATGTGAGCTGAATTCAATAATACAGTTCAAGTTCTCTTGCAAACATTGTCTTTAGAGGACACTTGTAACTTAATTTCTAATTATGTTTATTCTTCCATTACTCAGTGTTTTTTAATAATATTTTTTAAATATTTACACAACCTAATGAACTCTTAGTGCTATTCTGGTAAACTAGGAGCTGACTGTGCACTATTAAAATACAAAATACAAACACGGTCTATACCTTTTAGTAAACAATTTACTTACTTTTAATGCTGACCTAAGAACTACAACTTCACATGGGCTTTGTATCCATGGCTCTCCATCAACTTGAATAGGGACTTCAGTATTTAAACGAATCCTCAACTATAAATACAGGAAACAACCCTTGTCATTAGCACACGATCATTATTATTTAATTACTACAAATGGGAAAAGAAAATCAGTAAGTTCTTGATTACATAAATATTTTCATGTTTCGTTTTGAAGTCTTGTTTTCAAAATTTAAATTCTCCATCCTCTATATGCTTTTATTTTGCAATATTTCACATCTTAGTGTTTTACAAGTCTTTTTTAATAATATTTTGAGTAGCAATGGATATTGCTAATATAATACAAAGTTCAGATCATTTAAGTAAAACTTTAAGCAAAAACTATTATGTAATATTTCCATTTTAAAAAGAAAATTCTCAAGTTAGTACAACACAAGGTGAAAAAGAGATAGAAATAAATATCACAATACTAACATTTAAGGGTAGAAATACTTTATGTGACCTTATTCATCCATTTAAATTGTGTATTTGTTCCATTAGATTTACATGTAAGTACAGCAGCTTCACAGAACAATATGGATTTTTATTAATATATGCTTTATCAAACGCCTTACAATCATGCCCCCTGTTATGCTTTTTAAGTAACCCATGCTTTACCAGGAACCACACCTTGAAATTAAATCATTTAAGTTTAAAAACACATTGTCCTGATATGGGCAATAATTTCATACTTTGTGCTTGCTGGCTTCATATTTAGTATGAGCCACTAGCCAACTAAAATGCTTCTAGGGATTTATATTTCATGCCAACACAGACAGTAAACAAGGCAGCGTGACAGCTTACGAACAGTGAAAGAGTTTAATTAGTTACAGATTTTTGCATTGTGAATTACTTCAAATTAAACTGTATACCAAACAACACATTTATATAGTTGTCTAGTATTTTAAAACTGCAGATCATATGTGCAGATTTTAGAAATCAATCAACTTAGCTGTTTAAATTTAAATGCTATCATTTTTATCAAGGTCAGTTCATCTTTATTTATTCACATTAGAATTTATCATCATTTATAAGATTTACTTAAAACTATAACTTCAGATTATAAAAAATTTAAAGAAATTTTCAACTTGTCAAACTGATAAGGCATTGGTGTTCCAGATTTCCTGCATATGTTGTTGTTGCTGTTTATGTTTTTAAAGCTTTTCCTAAGGTAACTGCACTGTGTCTCTTGATTGCCAAAAATAACTTCCGATACTACTTTAATTACATCCTGCAGTTATTTAATAGAAAAGCAGAAGTAGAGCTAAATCCTTCCAGCTTCTGACTAATTTATCTATTTACACTAAAAATACTATTTAGTTGGAATCAGAGATTCAAGACAGAGATGCAAAATTTACAGTGCTTGAGCCCAACACGACTCTCATTATGTGTGAAATAAAAATAACAACATAATAATTAATGAGTAATTAAATTAAATAAAATACTGCCACACAAAGAAAAATAATACAGAAATAGCAGATAAATGATTAAAAATGAAACAATGCAAAAATGGAATATGAAAATATGTGGTAGTAAAACATAATAGTTAAAATGAATATTTTGATCATCATTTCAGCCAATTTTCAACTGTGGAGTGTAGTATTTGATTAAAATATTTTGAGAAGATACATCAGCATGTAAGAACATTAGAGTCAAGAAAATATTTGAAAAAGAAACAATTTGAAACCAAACAATAAAACTGTTAAATATAAATGTACAAATACTGGTTAAGTATCAAACTTCACTCCAGCTATATCTTATTTCCTAAGCTCTGATTACATATAACCTCAAAATAAAAATTTTGTTATTTAAAATAAAATCATATAGTTCACTTTATTATATTTATGGAAATTGAGACACATGTACATTCAGTATGAACATCTATCTTAATAAATGTCAAAAGAAATATCATGCAAATGGTAAAATTTCTCATTAACACTGCAAACCGATTTCACATGCAAGGGAATTTGACAGTTCATGTCATTTGTGATTTCAGTGTTCTCAGGCTAGAATTGTAACTCCTCTGAAAAATGTGGAAGCAGCAGAACCAGGCCTTGTTTGGATTTAAACAGTGGCTTAATTTCTAAAAATTAACCAAGAATGCAATTTTTTTATCTTTTTTGAAATCCTGTATTAAATTGAGTAATTAAGTAGAGTATCATAAAAACAAGCATTTAAATATCAAAATCGAATATGAAAGTACTTAACATAATAAACTTGTTTTTAGTTCCAAAGGTGGCCTAAGTAATGAAATGAAATTTTGTAAATTCAAGACTATTTTCTATTGCCAATACCTGGATGTGCAACAAAATAAACCAAAAGAATGCAAAGATATAAAAATCTTTAAAAGCACAGAAAATCTTCCTTCCCCAGGAGACCAAACTTTAGCTTTACCACTTCACCATTTATCCCGAGATATACTCACTGATTTCAAGTGTTGTCAGTAGTCGTCAGAACCCTAATACAACATAATGCATACATACAACTATTTCCATACATATAACTATAACATGGTCACTGGCCTTCTGATACTTAAAATCATTCAAAGCTTTTAAAACTGTTTATTTCTCCACACTTCATGCTACTGATATTCTCGAGTTAAAAAATTTTACCTTACTACAGTGCAAAGTCTGTAATCCAGACGAACATTATCCGGAATGATCTATAATCCAGACCTCAAAGCCACAAACTTTTTTTGTATGTTTTATGCATGTGCGTAATGCTTTTACACATGCATGTTTAGCACAAAAAACGAAGCAACTTAAACAATTTACATTGAAAGAACTGTTTAATAAAGTAAATATTAAGCTTTTTTTGTAAATTTTGATACCCTTTAGATCATAATTGCTCTTTATTTCATAAATTACGGTTTCATATTTTTAATTGTATAATTTCTGCATACCATCTTACCAGATTTAAATTGATGATCTATAATCCGGAGAAACCCTTAATCCGGAATCGCCGAAGTCCTGACGAGTCCGGATTACAGACTTTGTATTGTACATATTAAATCTTTACATTTAAATTAATAATAATTTTTTCCATGATGGCATGACTTAACCACTTGCACTACGACTAAATTTCACAGTTGCGGTGACGTGCGCTACAATATAACAAGCGGTAAAGTGTCTCATTTACGCCGCTCCGTGTCTGCGAGTGCAATCTAGAGCCGTAACTCAAGAAATAAACAATCTCTTTGTTAGGCGACGTGTGTACCATGTTATTTTCATTTTTCCGATAAATGCCTATCGATGTGGTGTTCATGTCGCTCGCGATTTGAGACAAAACCATCTCGACGTGCGTAGCACATCTTTTTAGCGCAAGTGGTAAAAAACAAACAAATAAATAAAAAATATGTTTCGGTCCAAAAAAGAGGGCAATGATAAAGCTAAGTTTAAAAATTGTTTTGAACAAAATTTACATTTTTTTACAAAGTGATTTACAAAGTGATGAACACCTTTTATTAGTGTCAATACATATCTTACTACAGTTAATCTTAAGCAGTAATAATAATAAAAATCCATTAACTTAACTAACAAATTACTGATCTTGTAGAGATCAAAGTATACTTATAAACAATACCTAAATTTAATAACAGAGAAGATACACACACACACACACATATATATATCATACAGCTTCATTGATGATACTATGACTGGACTATGAAAAAATAACTAGAGTAAGAGATAAATACTTACACGCTCACTTATTGCTATAGCCATCTTAAATTTAATAGTCTGCTTATGTCAGTAAAGTTTGCTATACAGAGGGTGTTCACACATTTTGCAACGATTTTGATTTTCTCATAAATTTAAACATTCATTAAAAAATATAAACACGACTGGCATCACATTGGAATAAGGTATAATTACTGTCTGCAGCATTAAAAATATTCTTTTCTTTAAAATGTCACTGAAACATAAACAGTGGATTGAAGGCTATATTTTTGTGCTGTCCGAAGAAAAAAATGCTTACTCAATTATTAAAAAAATGTAAAAAGGATGGTTTTAGTATCTCTACATGTAAAAGAATCAATATAATTAATATGAAAGGGGGGGGGAATCAAAGTTTACATCTGACTGGGAAAAAGGCAAAAAAATGTATAGCCAACAAAGGTATGTAATGCTCTTATTAAATCTAATACAGTCAAAAGTCGTTAATTCGGACACCCATAATCCGGACCTCAAAGCTACAATTTTTCTGCGCATGCATCATATTGCATGCGCATGCGTAAGACATTTACGGCTGCGAATATGCTTGTGCACGCGCGCAAAATACGTTTACGAGTGCGCGTTTAATGTATAACGGATGGTATAAGCTAAGCTAAAATTATCTAATTATCTATTTCAGTTAATGTTGCAGATTGCGCTGTTCCTTAATCTTTGAATTGGATCCGGCTAATTATTTTTTGCAGACTGTTAGAGCAATTTTATAAAAGTAATGTTGAACTTTCAATTACTTCAAATAGAATTTCTAATATATATTTATTAATATGTAAAGGATCTAGAAAGCGAAAGTATGTTTCAAAGTTATTTAACAAAAAGTGGAATTGCTGCAAAAAATGGATAAAGACATATCCTTTGTTTATCTAAACTTTAACGTTTCCTTATCTAAACTTTGTTTATCTTTAACGCCGTGGCATGCAATGAATTGGAAGTTGATCTGTCAGCACTATCCTTATCTTCAGGACAGATGTTTTTATTTTATTGGGCTTATAATTCCTTACTAAATGTAGTATTTTATCTCGATGTACTCCGTCTTTGATATGATTTAAATCAAATTCCTCGTCGTTATAATTCGCTTCCGATAGCGAAGAAACTGACAGAGGTTATTGAAAACGAAAAAATTTCGATTTGACAAATTAATCGGTAGACACAGCAATTATAGGACTTGAACAGCGGAACTTCGTAACTGAACAAGAAATTATGTCTGTTTATAGAATTAAAGAGAAAGTATTATCACATAAAAAACGAAACAACTTACATTGAAAGAAATGTTTAATAAAGTAAACAAACAAATATTAAGCTTTTTTTTTTGTAAATTTTGATACCC